CATGTGTCTGGCAACACCAAACTTATGTACATCAGCTGTCATCGAGTTTCAGTTGTGGAACAGTTTTCCTTTTGTATTTTTTATTGTTTGGATTAAACTGTAATAAATTAAGACGAAACTACGCAAAAAGGTATAAAAATGAGTAAAGTAAATCGGAGTGGCACGCGGGAAGGGATTTTTAAAGTTTTCCAGCGATGTTTCGAAGACTACCAAGCTGGACGAATTTTGTGGGATTTGGATGATGTTTATGGGCGAACAGCATCTATGACGGGTATGTAATCGTGTAACTATTTGTTTGTAATCTGCCTAAAGTTACAAATTTACTTAATTTACGATTTTGAGACCAAAAAAGGCATTGTTTACATTGCACATTTTTAGGTTAGATTGACATTGTAAATAGGTAATATTGTAGTACGACCATTTCTTTTGATACGTGGTTCAACTCGGTCAGGTTTTCTATCAATTTTGAATTAATTGCTTCATGTCAATAAGTTATTGTTTCTATTCCGTTACATATTTTTTTACCTTTTTTCAGGAATATCAGAGAGTCGGATAGTCAACGAAGGTTTTAAGAATGATGGAAAGTTTGAAACTCCTCGGAAAACAGGCAAGGCCGACCAAAGAAAGAAATGGTCACATAAAGAACCATGGCCAGATGCTTTTAGTGAAGATACCTATCACTAATTTTATTAACTGCACATTTACAAATTGTTTCTCTAAATAAACTTTTTATATACTATAAAATGATTTTGAAGTGAAACTTCTTTATCGGCGTTGGAAAAAAATTTACCGTCACATTTTTTCGGTTACGCGTCACGTTTTTTGGTTACGCGCCATCTTTTTTTTAAAAGAGCACTATTTACCTCATCCGAACAATTGCTTCTTCTGTCAACTTTAAAAAAAAAAAGTATCGACAGCAAATATTCGTGTTTCACACAAGGTAAGGTAAGGTGTAGTTATACCCCTTTAGTGGGTGAGTTTTTGAAAAATCTTAGCGCACGCCTATATATATATTTCTGGAAAGTTGCATGTAGATCATTTTTCGAAAAAAATAAGGCCATAAAGAAGTTTCACTTCTTACGTGTGTACACTAGTACACGCACACATTTTTTTTACTATTATTTTCTTAACAAGTGTGTTAAAAAACGTCGTATGATGAATCTTGTGTGTATTGATGATTACCTAACGGCTCTGGTCTCAATGGCACCTCAGCGGTAATCGCCAACATTACACACTTTACACTATAAAGTACTATTTTATCTATAATAATTTTATTCTGATTCAATTAAATATGCTTGGCTAAACTTTTTATAAGCATAGGTACCTACTATATATAAAACAGAAACAAAATACGACTGCATAGTATGTCTTATTAATTACCTATTTTACTTAAATGAACTGCTAGTATCAAAATCATTTTGGTCCGACTGTATAGGGTTGCTACATGCATACTAGTGGCGCCATCATTTAATGTCACGGCTTTATAGACAAACAGTAATTACGGTGCAATAACTTTAAAGAAATTAATTACTTCAGAGTTAAAATTAAGTTATATTAAAAAATAAGACACAAAATGACACCGCAAATGTATTCATCTTTTTCATAGTATCTTTACCAATCACGGAATTCGGGTTTCACTAACCATTCTTTTACGATTTTTTTTCTTCGGCGCTTCCACTTCACATTAAGAAAGGATCATTCTCACTCAATTTTCTAAGATCTAGATTTAAAAAAGGAAATTAAAAATGTTAAAATCTTGAACACTCAACAGAAATAAAACAGCCAGACAATAATAAATGGATGCAAATAGAATAATCCAACCAAATGTAAATCTTGTCCTAAGAATTGTACAATAAATGTATAGTGTGCGTACTTCATTTGATAGTATTCGAAAGAACGTAGTGCAAGGGGAATTCCCGGGTAAGAATATAAAAGTGCGTAGGGAATGAGTTACGTTCACAGTCACAGCCATTATTTTGTCGTTCGGAGGTTGCGTTTATAAACTAAAATGTGAGCTTGCATTTGCGAATGTCAAGAAATTAATTTGTACTAACATTTATTGACAAATGCAAATAACGGTAGATTTTATCACCGTTGTTATGCTCTAACAGTAGGTGGTAGGTTTTTGCTGAGTACGGTGCATTTACCGTAATAGGGTATTTGACAGTATTAAAAATAAAGTGCCAATTGTTAGCATATGTATTTAGAATGAATATTGGCAGGGGTTTTTATTATTTTTACAAAAAAAATATTCATAATTTTACTAAAAACCCTCGAAAAAGATAATAGTTTTCATCATATCTATTGTCACGGGACCCAAAACGCTTGGGATTGGCGGAGCCTAAAATGACGTCACACGCATGTAAACTTCCCGTTAAAGTGACATTATATTGTATCGTTTGACGTTTTAATAACAGTCGTGTGACGTCACACACTAGTAAGACGCCGTATTGTCCAGAAGAGGAGTTTTTGATTTGGGTTATTTTTACTGAAATACACAACAGAATGATGAATATCCACTTTTTACGGACTCCATAAACATTAGTCAATAACGTGAGATAGTTTTTTAAAACTTGTCAAATAGGTACCCTATCACGGCGCACATGGCATCACTGCCATGGATACACGCCTTCAGCAGGCCAATTATGCTCGCTATTTGTGATATTGTTTTGATGTCTATTTCACATTACGTATTATGCTCTCCGAAAAATGCGATATCAAAATGACATCAACTTATGCTATGATGATGATCAACTCTATAAAAATATATCAACTTAAATGCGTATTACGTTCAACTTTTTGACTTAAAATAGTATCGATAAACGTCAAAAATGTGATATAGGATATGATATTGATATGATCTTGATGTGACATAGGAATGTTTCATAATACCATCTAAAAACAATGTCAACTTGGCATCAACATCATATTGACATCACATTAGAATTTTATTACTGAAGCATAATTGACCCGCTGTATACATCACACTATTAAATTATTATTACTTTATAGGCGGAAGTTTGTGAGTGCGTACGTTTGTTACTTCTTCACGGCTGGAGCGATTTTAATAAAATTTTGGTATGGACTTAGCTGACAGCCTGTATTAAAACATAGGCTACGTTTTACTGCGTAAAATATCCCTTATAAACCGCGGGTAGCACTGCGGAGCACAGCTAGAAGTAATACAATACAATGAAGATTTAGAAGTATAAAGAAAGAATTTGAAAACAACAATTGAGGAGCTGGCGAACAAAACGGTATAATAACATAAAATTAAATTTTACAGGAGCTGTATAAAACTGAATGACATACCTCCAGTGAGCTTTTGCCATGGTTTTTAATTTATAAGTAATTTTAACAATGTTTTAGGCGGTTTTGATTGAAAATTATTTGAGATACAAATTCAACGGGCCGGAAACCTACGTACTGTAAAAAAAAATAAGTTTGACCAGATGCGTAATTATACCGTTTCGTTCGTCAGCTTCTCAATTATAACTTCATGATGAAGTTTAAGAACTTCGTTCTATTTAATTATGTACAATATCAAAAATAATATATTGAAAACTTAATTTTATCTACAGTATTTTCTATAAAATTAAGTAATGGTAAATAAAAATCTGCGTTACTAAACAATTCCTGAACGCGGTGGGGAATGCATGCATATTTTGCGTTGATGCCAGATTGAGGGGATTCCCCCCAAATTTGGGGGGTTTTTAAAGCGATGGGAGAAAATATTTTTGGGGGCATTAATTGGATTTGATTGGAAGAAATTTGGGTTTGGGAGAAATGGGGGTTTTTAATTTATATAAAAATATAACCACTTCATAAACTTTTAATCTATAAAAAGTTGCCAACAACAGTCTCTCTTTCTTATTCTGTATAGAGCATGACAAGGATAGACTGTCGTCAAATTTAATTTAATAGGCTTAGAGAATCATGCCAGATTCGGGCCCACTGAACTGTATTCATTCAGTGAGCCTGATTCGGACCCCTAAGTCCTAAGCCCACATAAAAAAAAACTCTTTGCCCGTCCCAACAAGGACAAATTGACAAAAAAAAGTATTCTTCGGTCCATTTCATCTTGCTCAGTCGGTCGGTCAGTCAAGTTATGCAAGTCAGTCAGTCGTTAAAGGTCACAGTCACAGTCACTATTATTATCTTCAATTTTTAGTAATTTGTCCTTTTAATTGTTTACACCTTGGTAAAATAATGGCATTATTAAAACAAAGTTATTTATGAAGATTAACAAAGGAGTGGGAAAGACGACGCGTGCGAAGATGTTGATCCAGTAATGGATGCTGTTGCAAAAATACATACCTTATAGTAAATATTGTATTTTTAATAATATTTCGCGTGGTCTTTTCTTCAAAAACTTGTAATTTGGAGGGATTTCGGGTAAGTTTTGGGGGGAAGCCGAAAATGCGAAATGGCTGTCTGGTAACACTGCTTGCTGCTGCTTTTTTCCAAAAGAGTATCAAAAGATCCAAGGAAGCCCGCCCGCCCAACCTTGGTGGAATAACAAAATCGTGCAATCTAGGAAATTCGTTACTACAATAAACAGGCTGAGATTTGGTCATGGGCAATTTCGCACTCACCTGCATAGACTGAAGATGACAGATGATCCAAAGTGTCCCCATTGCCAAGAAAATGAAGACCTACAGCACATAATTTTTGAATGTAGACGGTACGGACTACAGCGTCTAATACTTGTTGCTGAACTTGAAGCAATCGATAAGGTCGTCCCTAATACGTTGCAAGACTTACTTAACGATCTCAAGTATTTCAAGCCACTATTCAAATTCATCGTAAATACTGTAGACAAAATATAACAAGGAAGAGAAACAGTTTACTGTGGAAGTGAAAATTATGATGTGATGTGATAAACTCAATGACATTCTGTTAAACGTGACAGTTGTTTTGTTTACTTTGTTTATAACATGTTCAACGTTTGGCTTAAAAAGGACTAGAATCCAGAGCCGTAAAACATATTAATAAAAAAAAAAAAACTGCTTTTTTCCATATTTACGATTGAATGTGAAGAAATATGTAATATCCGTGTCAATAAATTACCTTTACTCCAATGGAAACTAAATCCAGTATAATTAAATGTCACAAGTGTAGACATATTTTACTAAATGGATATAAAGAAAAAAATGTAAACAAGTGTGACCCAAAAAAATGTAGCAGTTATAATTTGCGCAACTTTATTTATCTAGATGATGATGAAGTGCCGGATTGGATAAAAATAAAAGTAGAAGAAGAGGAATGGACTAAAGGTAAATTACACTGCTGTACTTGTGGCTTTAAAGTTGGTTCTTTTGATTTCGTTTCTGGTAGAAAATGTAACTGTGGTTCAACTATATTACCATCAATTCATTTTGTTACCAGTCAAGTGGACGCACCTGTAGAGCTACACTTCTAAATTACTTTCACTTACTAAGAACTATTGTAATTATTTTGAATAAACATACATGAACTAATTTCTGACTTTAATTTATTTTCATCAAAATGATTGTAGTATTAAACTTATGTAGGTAATCAGTCTAGTTGTGATAAACCTGGATGACCTTTTTGACTCCATTGTGTAATAAATAAATATTTCCGACACTCACACCAATTAGCCTAGCCCCAAAGTAAGCACTATAAGGCTTGTGTTATGGGATGCTAGGGTAACGGATAGAATACATATACTATACATATATAAGTATATTTATATAAATACATATTAAACATCCATGACTGGAGTACAAATGCTCGTATTCACACAAACATCTGCCCCCACCGGGGTTCGAACCTGGGACCTCTCGAGTCAGCGACAGCCATGAAACCCGGCGTACAATCCACTTGGCCACGGAGGTCGTCTAATAGTTAATAGTTTCCGTGTAGTGTAGAAAGTTCTTTGTTACAGTTGGGTTTTGCAGCAAAAGTACAAAATCTCAATTCATATGTATTTCAAAACTCTATAAACAAAATTTTTTTTGTGTTCTATAATTGTTTGTTATTAATAAAGGCTTTTATAGAAAATCTTTACTTCTTAAATCTAATAATTAAAATTGAAAATTAATGAGATTATGAGCTTCACCCAGTGATTCTGCCGAGGAGTGTCCCAGCGGTCATTTAACATCTCAGGAGGCTGTTTGTACTGGAGCAGATCATAGTTGGGAAACTCTACAGGGGTAAGTAAAGCTATCCATAGGATTCTTGAATTTGCAAAAAGTTCAGGTCTGGATGCAATGATTCTACCTTCAGCTTCGTTCACAAGCTTCTGTCCAAATGACAGATCTGTGGCGAGCACTAGTCTTTGTTCCACTCAATGGCCACCCTAATACCTTCTGTATTAAAGTGGCGTATGTTGCGAGACAATGACATAGAGATCTTTTTATATTGATACCCGTAAGTTGGTGCAGGATATTAGTCTGAGCTCAAAAAACTTCCAAGGAAGAAATAGGCAGTCTCGAGTCTTCTTTAGTGTTTCTAAGCGAACAAATATCGACTATGGAACAATCTATTAAAAAGCAAGATAGTATCATTAAGGGTTTAGAAAATACAAACCAAGACCTGATTAATAAAAACAGGAATCTCAAACTAAGAATGAGTGTTGTGGAGCAATCAATGAATACAGTAGAGCAGAAGCGCCTTTCAAGCACAATGGAAATAGCTGGTCTACCACATGTACCGAATCCGGTGCTAGCAGTTTACTCATTATTGTGATAATTTTTGCCATTCATTCGTTCGACAGATTCATCAAATCATGATGGTATTTGTCTTAAATACTTATAAGACTTGTTTGTTAGCATTCTTATATACTTTAATAGTGACTTAGATCTCATTTCAGTTAATTGTATCTATTAGATATTATAGTTACTTGATAATTAATATTACTACTTAAAACAAAACATAAAACTGACTTCAAAATCGAAAATGGAACTAAAAAGTAAAAAATAATATCTGGTTTATGATTTGGAAGTCAGGGGGGGTCAAGATTGAAAACTTAAATAGATTTTCATTTCTCATCGGTGATAATACATCCTTCAATTTAGTGAATTAATGAAAATTACATCGTCCAAGTAAACATTAACACAATTGACGGAGAAATCGGTGAAGATGCATAAAAGACATCGTGCGTGCCTTTGAAATTTGAAGGTTTTCTCGATTTCCCCAGATTCCGCAATCAGAACCTGACTTGGTTCCAATGGGACCATATCGGAAGTGCACTCTTTTGAATAAAAAAATAATTTTGGAAATAGGTCCCCAATTAACGGAGTAATCAGTGAACATACATAAAAAAAATATACAGTCGAACACAGAACCTTCTTTCTCCTTTTTTGAAGTCGGTTAATAAATTGATCTATCTGTGAAGGTGTAATCTAGAAAGATTGAGCTACTCGTTACGCCGTAAAATTATTACTAGTTACTCTTACACTACCAAAATTTTAATTGTTTTCTTGTTGTCTATTTGTCTTATCATTGGTTAGGAGATAAAGTCGATTCTATATATGTATTTGTGATTTATTTTTTATGAACTACCTACACCTAAGTACAGTGACACTTGATTAACTCACTTATTTTGTACGAAAAAGCGAAAATCATCCTGAATTGATCAATCCGGCCGGATCCGGCTGGATTGATGGGAATCCGGTCGTATCCGCCCGGACTGAAAATGACGCCGGATTGCAATCCCTAGTCACAATGTTAATTTTAATTCATTTGTGGTGAGGGTGCCGACGGAACATCTAGCGACTTTTATGAAAGAAGAACTTTGGTCGAAGGGTGTTGTGTTCCGGCGATTCCGTGGCCGGTTACCTGATACCACTACGCGTAACACGTCGCCGTCTATACGTGTTAATTAAGTGTTTACTAACATGGTTACTTATTTTATTTACTAACAATAATGTTTTATATCTTAATGTATGTAAGACTATAAGGTATTTATCTATGGGACTATGTAGCCTGATCATAAATAAAAAATACTCGTTATTCCTGGGATTTTCGAGACCGTGGACGAGTATAATTTTTTCGGTCCCGGGAATCAGAAATGGTCCGGGACTGAAAGCCCTACTTAACACATAATATTTTTATGTAGGTAGTGTTTAGTTATATGTTAGACTTCCCGCCCGCGGCAGTTAGTTTATCGAAGTACCCATAGAAACTTACATTAACGGGATAAAAAGTATGCTTTCTCAAATATACAGGGTGGTAGATTACGAGATTCCTCGCACTTTGGGGTACCCGAAAATAGCCCATGTTTGTTCCGCGAGTTTTCTTAGTTTTCGAGTTATATTTTTTTTTGTGTATTTTTAATGATTTCTGCCAGCGAGTTTTCTAAAATTCTTATCTTTTTTCGTAGTAGGTATTTTGAAGTCTTTTTTGTGACATTATCGTCTTGAATGTTGTTTTAATAAAAAAATAACTCAACTTCCTGCAATTACTTAAAGTTACTCAAAAAAGGCTTGAAAGTTGGATCTTTAGTTTTTCGTAGGATTTACTCAAACGTTCAACGTCAATACAAAAAGGAGTTTCCATAGCTTCTGGCTAAAATTAAAAACTCCGCATGCTTCTAAACTACTAAAAATCATAAAAAAAATGTACTTAATCAGCCTATTTTTGTTGTAAACACGATTAAAGCATTAGACATTATTTTGTCTACTTTTTTCATTGTTATGGTAAATTAAACCTAAAAATGTAATTTCAAATTTAATTTAATTGAAATTTCTGTAAAATAACTTTAGCATGTCGAATTTTATAATAATTTCGGTTTCACCACTAAGATTTAAAATGTGAGCAAGAATAAAGATCAAAATGGCTAGTTGGGAAATTACCTGTTTTTTGATACAAATAAAAACCACAAATTACTGAAAAAATACTATTTATTACAGTAAATTTTCAAAACTCCTTCCTCCAATTTGAATACACAATTGACAATGTCTTAAAAAGTTATTTTTTAATTGTCTGAAGCTACTTGAATATTCTTGCTTTATTTTTCTTTCCGCTTCTGTAAGTTTTTGTCTCAATTCTTGTTTGCATTTTAAATCTTAGTGGTGAAACCGAAATTATTGTAAAATTGCACATGCTAAACTTATTTTACAGGAATTTCAATTAAATTTAATTTGAAATTACATTTTTAAGTTAAATTTACCATAACAATATAAAAATTAGATAAAATATTTTTAATATTTTAATCAAGTTTCAATGATTTTTAGCCTATCCGCCTTCAAAAGCCAATTACATCAAAAATAGGCTGATTACTTTTCATACCATGACTTAATTTTCTTATCCTACAAAATTCGTCCTCCCAAAATTAAACCCAAAGTCATTCTTCAGCGTAATTTTGGTGGTATGGATAGGGAAGCGTTTCTTATTGACGCTCATAATACAGATTGGTCGCCAGTAACTGATGCGGAGTCTGTGGACGAGCAAGTTGAGACCTTTAATTATATAATTACTCAACTTTACGACAAGCACGCCCCTTTTCATCTCATCAAGCTTAAACATGTTCCTGCACCGTGGCTTACCCCAGATATTAAAGAACTTATGCACAAAAAGGATGTTGCTAAATGCAAATACAAACGCCGTTCAACAGATGCAAACAAGGTTAACTATGTTAGAGCTCGTAATCACTGCAATTTGGTGTGTAGGGATGCCTTACGTCGCCATATTCATGTTTCCGTCGATAATAAAGATCCAGCAAAAGTCTGGAATTTCCTCAAGTCTCTTGGAATTGGTAAGTCCCGACAAGAATCTATTCCTAGTAGCATTAACGTTGATTCACTCAACCTTCATTTCTCTTCATGTTCTAGTCTCAGTGATTTTAACAGGACTAATACTTTAAAGTTTCTTTCTTCGTTACCAGTTCCTGACTACTCTCCTCTTGTCTTTACTCAATTCACTGAATGTGACGTTAAGAAAGGTATGCTTTCTATCTCCTCCAATGCGGTGGGGAACGATGGCATTAGTCGCAACATGTTAGTACCAATCCTAGATATCATTCTTCCTATCCTTACTTTCCTATTTAACAGTTCGATTTTCAATGCTGTCTTTCCATCAGTTTGGAAGCAAGCCCAAATTATCCCACTCCCTAAAAAATCGAGCCCCCAATCCACCGCCGATTTTCGCCCCATCTCTATCCTACCCTTCCTATCTAAGGTCCTTGAACGCCTCGTCCACAACCAATTTAATATGTTCCTATCTCGCCACAACCTTTTTAATCCTTTCCAATCTGGTTTCCGTCCCGGCCATAGTACTAAGACTACCTTGCTCAAAGTGACAGATGACATACGCCTTGGGATGGATAATGGTTTCCTCACGGTATTAACATTGTTGGACTTCAGCAATGCTTTTAACACCGTCAATTTTGACGTTCTTTTGGCATTGCTGCGCTCACTTAACGTATCTCCATCAGTGATTGAGTGGTTTCACAGTTATCTGTATGGGCGCAGGCAGCGCGTTTGCCTTGAGGAGAAATTTTCTTCTTGGAGCGACACGACTGCTGGCGTTTCGCAAGGCGGCGTCTTATCTCCTCTTCTTTTCGCTGTTTTAATCAACTCCGTCTCTAATAATATTTCTTCTTCCTACCACCTATATGCAGATGACCTCCAAATCTATCGCCAAGCATCACTTGGTCAACTTGGAGATGCGGTACGAGTCACTAATAGCGATCTACATACTATATCAGAGTGGAGCAAATCCTTTGGATTGCAACTGAATCCCTCTAAAACTACTAGCATAATAGTAGGTAGTTCTAGGATGATAGATAGAGTAGAATGGCAGTCTTTACCCAATATCCAGCTGGCTGGTGAAATTGTCCCTTTTAGCTCGTCGGTAAAAAACCTGGGGTTGACTTTCGATAATTGTTTGAGCTGGGGTCCACAGATGCAAGTGGTCAGCCGCAAATTGTTTGCTTCAGCAGCTTCGCTTAGAAGACTATGTAATTTCCTACCCATCACTACTAAAATTACCCTAGCACAGTCGTTGTTGCTTCCCATTCTTGATTATGCTGACGTCTGCTATCTTGATCTTACCGAGGACCAGCTAAATAAGCTTGAGCGACTTCAAAACTTTTGCATCCGCTTCATATTTGGCTTGCGCAAATATGATCACGTTTCTCAATTTCGTTCGCAACACAAGTGGCTACCAACTGAACTAGATTTGTTTATTTATGTGTATGTATGTATTTATTTATTATATATTTATATTTATGTATGTATATAATTGTATATATTATCACCTATATCACTCAAGTGATTTACACCGCCGTCTCTCCCACTTCCTTCTAGTCCTCTCCATCCAAAGGTTGTCTGGAAGAGATCGCTCTAAGCGATAAGGCCGCCCATTGTTACACTAGTTTTAATTGGTTATGTACTAAATTTAATGTTATATGTGGTGTACAATAAAGTGTTTTGTATTGTTGAACGTTTGAGTAAATCCTACTAAAAACTAAAGATCCAACTTTCCTTTTTTGCCTTTTTGGAGTAACTTTAAGTAATTGCAGGAAGCTGAGTTATTTTTTTATTAAAACAACATTCAAGACAATTATGTCACAAAAAAAAAGATTGCAAAATACCGAATACGAAAAAAGATAAGAATTTATGAAACCTCGCTGGCAGAAATCATTAAAAATACACAAAAAAAAATATAACTCGGATACTAAGAAAAATCGCGGAACATACATGGGGTATTTTCGGACACCCCCAGGTGCGAGGAATCTAAAAAAAAATTGTATACAGGGTGGTCCAACTAGTGACAGTTGGACCAACCTGTATACTCCCGGGAACATCCATCGGCCCTCTTAGTGTTATAATTTACAACGGTCTGTAGCAAATATATGTTTATGGTTGAGGAATAACTTAAAAACACACAAAAAGATGATTACTAAATCAGTTCAATCTAAATCGTTACTCCACAACTAATCGCGTAGGTAAATTTTTTTTGCTCAATGTAACATTTATTTTTATCTAGGGACTGCCAAAACTTCAAATGCTAGTTTGGCCGATAGATGTGTCCAGATGTGTAGTTAATTAGACCAAATTTCATCAAATCCTTTTAGCCGTTTTGGTGTGATTGAGTAACATACCTCCAAATTCTATTTTCACATTTAGTGACAGATGACATACGCCTTGGGATGGATAATGGTTTCCTCACGGTATTAACATTGTTGGACTTCAGCAATGCTTTTAACACCGTCACATGTTATAAAACATAAAATAAGTACATCCTGCTATAACTATAAATGTGAAAATAAAATTTGGAGGTATGTTACTATGCAGGATGTACTTATTTTATGTTTTATAACATAAAATAAGTACATCCTGCTATAACTATAAATGTGAAAATAAAATTTGGAGGTATGTTACTCAATCACACCAAAACGGCTAAAACTTAATCAGCCTATTCAAATTATTATTAATTTGAATTGAACCCTCGTAAGTTTATTTAATTATATTTATTTCTGGCGAACTTTTCCTACCTTGTAAACTTTGTAATTATATCCTGAGATTAAAGGTTGCCTGAAAGTCATTTCTAGCAATAAGGCCTTCGCGAAAATGAAAATAAAATTTGGAGGTATGTTACTCAATCACACCAAAACGGCTAAAACTTAATCAGCCTATTCAAATTATTATTAATTTGAATTGAACCCTCGTAAGTTTATTTAATTATATTTATTTCTGGCGAACTTTTCCTACCTTGTAAACTTTGTAATTATATCCTGAGATTAAAGGTTGCCTGAAAGTCATTTCTAGCAATAAGGCCTTCGCGCGCATAGCTTACAACCTCTCCATGGAATTCTATTGTTTTTTTGAGTGTGAGCAAAAGTTTCGTACCTATCTATTTTTTATCTAGAAACTAAATAAAAACGTTTTTCTTATAAAATATATTTATAATAATTATGTAACAACAATACGAGTAGTATTCATGTATTTATTATTCCACCACCATAGCTGCAGTTATGGACTCATTTACTTCAATATCTCTGCATTTGGCCGCTTGTAACTCTTTTCTTGTCTGAAACACAATAAAATCTTTTAGGATTGTAACACGAGTAAACGACGATACGTCAAAAAAACGTACGGTGTCGCAACGCACAAGGAGAGGAGGAAGGCGCAGTATACGGCTACTACACTACTCAATTATTAGGGTAGCTATTATCATTAGTACACCGGCCTATCAATCGGATCCAAACAGTCTCAAAGTAAAATTCGTCTCGGTTATACGTCGTCGGTATGGTTGCCTTGATTAAACTTTCATAAACTTCTCTAAATCCTTCGGCCTTAATTGAATTTAAAGTCAAATATGTAAAAAATCACCAAAAAAAATTTACTACTCACATAAATACAATACAAAGGTTACCAACCTAAGGTTAGATAAATTTACCAAATTAAATGTTTTGTTGAGGATCATTTACTATATTTTTGCTGATTATTTTATTGTGTGTCTTATTTAAATAGGTTTTGATTTCTTTTTAGCACAAAAATTATAGATCTCATTTAAAATTAAGTAAAGTTAAACTAATTCGACTTCAAAAACGTACGTACTATACGCTATCAGGGCGTCGACTGAGATCCCTTACTGCCTAAAAACTATTTTACTACCCGATTGTGAGGGCGTAAGGGAGAATGGGACGCGCCTATCGCCGTAGATCGGGTCCCTTACTACCTAAATCTTATTACACCACCCTTAGTCAGGGTAAGGGTCCCTTAAAATTGGGTAGTAGGAAAATTGAGCAGAAACAACGCTCGTGTGACATTCACTGCGTTGAAATCTTAGATTAAAACAAAAAGGGTAGATACGGCACTAGCCTCACAAAAGTGATCCGCATAAATTGTGGGCCACGACCCTAACCGCTTTAGTCACAACTTGACATACAAAGACGTACATGTGAACACCAAAAATAAATATTGCTAATATTTTGTGTTTATATGATAAAACAATGCCTAAGTGTGTTTTTAAAAAGTGCTCAAATTGCTCAAGAACTAAAAAAAACCCACGGCATCACTTTTCATTCGTAAGTACTATAAAATATATTTTTTCATAAAAATTGCTGTTTGTTTTGAATCTTATTCGATAGTGACGTCGAGTACTGGTCGCGTGATTGGTCGGTAGTGCAGTGACGCGGATCTCGCCGTCTCGTTCGCGCTGCCGCTGAAACTTAACGTGCTGTTTCGTTCGGGTTGGTAAAGCAGTGACGCGGATCTCGCCGTCCCGTTCGCGCTGCCGTTGAAACTTAAATTGCTGTTTCGTTCGTTCGATTGTATCTTTACAAACAGGTGGATGGTGGACAGTTTTTGTTTGATCCAAGTATGAGCGTACCGTATCAACCCTTGTTTTAATCTAAGGTTGAAATCATTGCGTTGCGACACCGCAGCATTGACGTAACGCCCGTGTGGCACCTCGCTACTTCGTTCATATTGAAAAGTCAATATGCTAAAGATCGGTGAAAAAATGCAAAAAACACAATTATTGTACTTATTGTCGGTTTTTGACAGGTATCAAATCAAAAACAAAATTCGTTTTAGGCAATGATATATTATTAATAAATAAGTTATGTTAATAGTAATTGCGTTTAAAATTTGTTCCAAATTCAAATGTTGTTGTGCATAGAGTAACATTTATTAGTCGTCAAGACGCTCCAGTCCAGTCTCCTACAGTCTTCGCAGCGTACGCGCTATGACATACTAATAGTTTTCCAATTACAGCATAATGCGACTCAGTAGCACACAATGCCGAATTATGCTGATGCATAATTGGAACGTGAATTAGTTTTCAAATGCACCAGCAGAGTGCGCCAAGTCAATGTTTGTACCTCATCCATACTTATATTTATTTTTTTAACACAGTTTGAATTAACTTTGATAATTTTAAAAAACTACAATGAAATATTTTTTATACATATTAGTTTTATATAATGTGAATTTTTCAACAATAAATAATATTAATAACGATAATATTTAATAAAACATTTCGATCAATGCCAACTTAAAGAAAAAACACTTGTTAATTTTCTGTCACTGAGTTGGTAGATTGCAAGCATCACACGAAAACATTACTTTTGAGAGTGCTCGATTGTGCGAAGCGTTGCTGTAGATGAAACATTCAACGATAAACAGTATGCCGCATCATGCGCTCTAGTGCTGTAATTGGAAAACTACCAATATCTGCTCCTATACAGGTGGGTGACAGGAAAACTCGACCTATTCCTAACCCTAAAAGGGGTTATACTAGAAGCCATTGACAACAAATTAAGTCCAGTGAACTAGGGATCAAAAAAGGGAACTAGGATTATTTAGAAATTTTCTGACTTGATACCAAACCCATTAATTGTGAGTAAATTACTCCACTCTGAACATTGAATTGATCTCCATTTGTCTTTACTCAATTCACCGAATGTGACGTTAAGAAGGGCATGCTATCCATATCTTCCAATGCGGTAGGTAATGATAGCATTAGTCGTAATATGCTGATACCTATCCTAGATATAATCCTTCCTATACTTACCTTTCTTTTTAATAGCTCATTAGCAAACGCTGTTTTTCCATCGGCTTGGAAAGAAGCTCAAATCATCCCTTTGCCCAAAAAATCGAATCCTCAATCTTTTGCCGATTTTAGGCCTATTTCTATCCTTCCTTTCTTATCTAAAGTCCTCGAACGTCTCGTCCATAACCAATTAAATATATTCCTCTCTCGTCATGACCTTTTGAATCCTCTCCAATCTGGTTTCCGTCCTGGGCACAGTACCACGACTACCCTCTTGAAAATCACTGATGACATACATGGGATGGATCAAGGTCACCTAACGGTACTGACATTATTGGACTTCAGCAATGCCTTCAACACTGTAAATTTTGACATTCTTCTGGCGTTGCTGCGCTCACTTAACGTATCTCCATCGGTGATTGAGTGGTTTCGCAGTTATTTGCAGGGACGCAGGTAGAGGGTTCGCCAAGAGGAGATTTTTTCCTCATGGAGCGACACTTCTGCTGGTGTTCCCCAAGGCGGCGTTCTATCTCCTCTTCTTTACGCTATATTTATTAATTCTATTTCCAAAAATATTTCTTCTTCCTACCACCTGTATGCAGATGATCTTCAAATTTATAGACAAGCCCCTCTCGGTCAATTATCTGAAGCAATACTGGCCACCAATAATGATTTGCGACAAATTGTGGAGTGGAGCAAATCCTTTGGACTAGAGGTTAATCCCTCCAAAACACAATGCATTATTATAGGTAGCTCAAGGATGACTGCCAAAGTGAATTTGCAGTTACTTCCTAACATAACTCTAGCTGGCAACAGTATTCCATTTAGTGTTTCTGTTAAAAATTTAGGAATAATCGTCGATAACCGTTTCAGTTGGGATCCACAGTTACAAGCTGTTAGCCGTAAATTGTTTGCTTCAGCAGCTTCGCTGAAGAGACTCCGTAATTTCCTTCCTATCGCCACTAAAATTGCCCTAGCACAGTCTCTGCTACTTCCTATTCTTGATTACGCTGACGCCAGCTATCCTGATCTCACGGAGGACCAGCTTAACAAGCTTGAGCGACTTTAAAATTTCTGCATTCGGTTCATATTCTGCTTACGCAAATATGACCATGTGTCTCAATTCCGATCACAGCTCAAGTGGCTACCTATTCGACTTCGCCGGAATACTCACATTCTCACACTTCTCTACAATATATTGTTCAATCCTTTGTCCCCGCGCTATCTCAAGGAATGCTTTAATTACCTTCATAATTCGAATGCGTTATCTCTTAGGTCATCAGAAAATTTAACCCTAAAAATTCCTACCCATGACACGACCTTCTATGGTCGTTCTTTTACCGTCCAAGCTATAAGCCTATGGAATTCTCTTCCAGTATCCATAAGACAAGCACAATCTATTAATATCTTTAAAAATCTTGTTGTGAATCACTATTTGTCGATGTAGCTGCATTTTTATCTCTGTTGACTGGACTAAACCTATATATGTGTAGTCTATGTATATATATGTAATATGTATAGGTATATAATATGTATATATTCGCTTTTAGCGATAAGACCGCCCATTGAAGCACTCTTTTTTTTTACAATTGTATTGTCTCTCATTTCTGTTCTGTGTTGTGGTGTTTTCAATAAAGTATTGTGTATTGTATTGTATTTAATTGATACTTTTCTGAAAGCTGAAAAATTTGTGATAATTTTGAAAAAAAGCGTTTATGGTAATCTCAATAGTAATATTTTTTATTTTTCACGAACATCGCCGTAAATTATGGGAAAATAACTGTATAATTTATTTTTATCGAAAAAGCTGTTTTTATTAAAATCAGCAAAAGGGTGCTGTAGGGCAAACTTTCATTTTGATTTGTAAATGAGTTCAGGTCGAATATCAATAGTGTTACTCTTCACTGTGAATAAAATTCAATGTTGATTGATATAGTTTTATGTGGTTTAAAAAAACTGTACCTCAAAAAATTATAATTAAATGTTAAGAGTGGAGTAGTTTATTCACAATTAATGAATTGTGAATAAACTACAGCACTCTTAAACATTTACATCAGAAAAAAATTCGACCCCTCTCAAGAAATAGGTCGAGTTTACTATTACCCTGTAAAATATCATTGGTTCTAAACTTTTCTATAAAACAATTTTGTTTGAGATGAATTAAGGGTTTTTGATATTGTTGCTTATCTTAAATTACTTTAGTCATTTATTTATTAGAACATACCTCAGGTGTGATATTAGGATGAGATTGTTTCCGAAGTAATTCAAGCAAGGCATCTCTCTGTTCTGTGGAAATGTCAGCCTTATAACGTTGTACAAAAGTCAAAAGTGCTTGATGCCACAATACAGGCAAATTTCTTGGATCCCTCTGAAACCTAAAATTGCAATATTTGTAATTGCTTGTACAGTCAGCATCATAAAGACCGAAGTGTGAAGACTGATTAAAATTATCTATGGTACTCAAACTAAATTTTATATACGCTGACAAATCTTATTGTTGTCGTAATCGTCCAGTGGTCAATATTATCTAAACAACACAATTCCAATATTATGTAATGTGTTGAGCAAACTAAATAGTTATACTTATATTCGCAAATAACTATTCAATGGTATCCTAAGCACAAAGTTATCTTGGTAATAAAGGAAAGTAAACATTAAATCAGGAGTATTACGATTTTATGTTATTTTCAGGTTTTCATTTAGTGCCTGACGTAAATTACGCCTTTTTTTTAAGGCAGATTTAGGCCGCGTTCACTTTAGCACACTCATCGACCCGGAAGCGGATCGATACTTACTCGCCTTTCGGCTTGGCGTCAACAAACGTCCACCTAACATATGCGGTTAAGCACCAATAGTATGTCGACTCGGTTACGACTAGGCGACGCCGCGTTTACGACTAGCTGACCACTAGTTGACGGCTAGGCGGGACCAGTTCAATCAGATTGAATCTTAATGTGAAGCCACAGGAGAAGCGTGGACGAAGAGACGTAAGCTAGCCTACGGAGAGTTGACCACGCCTCGCACCGCGGTACGGGAGCATGTGCCGAGGATTACGTTACGATTCTGATCAGAGTGCGTTACAGCAGGGCGTTTCATAAGAATACTGAACGGCTCGAGTTGATACGTTGACGATCCTATTCCAAGTTGATATATGTGCTTACACTTTAGTGTATTGTTAGGAAACTGAATAAGTATGTTTAGTTTTATAAAAATATATAGTAAATATATTGATTATATTTCCTATATATTCTAAGGTATTATATTTATAGATAAACAAATTCACAGATTTACCTTAAAAAGTGGAACACAACTGAATCCACCACACGATATGGAAGTGCGTATTTTTTGTCAAATAGAATTCTTAAAAATATTGAATTAGCTCCAGTGTAATCCATTTCAGCTATCTTTAACATTGTAGCGCTAGAGTGTAAAACAGGTACTGAATTTCTAGCTAGAACTGAGCCAACAATGATGGCTTCACGCAATGTGCAATCTCCAGCCTGAAATATTAATGTATTTTAAGAACAGGAATTATATTGATGTTAATCATTTGAAACCTATTCATTATTTGCTTACTTACTTCCAGTAGCGGTAGCAATATTCCCTTCATGAAAGCACCTGGCTTGAAAAGGGCTTTTCTCAGAGCTTGGTACAAATGAAAATTAAGTCTTTTGTACTCTGCTAAATCATCACGAATGCGAGGTAAAAGAACTAAATTATAGAATCTCTGGGCCATTTTCTCTTTAAGATTTGAAGCGAAAATCCTTGTTGCCTATAAAAGATAAACAATTAAAATCTAATTATTTATTATAGAACCACTTAGTAAGACATAGATTCTCCTTGTCGGATCTATTGCATGGTAAAAAGGAGAAGTACAGAAACAAGGTTTTTGTAACCATTTCTTAATTCATAGTATTCCGAGCTTAGTTCTTAATTCATAGTGAGGTAGTTGGAATTTGTGTTGGTGGTGAAAGATTACTCATCTGAGATCGAGGTGTCATTTCTATGCTTCAGCCCTGGGAACAAGGGCAATGTAACCTGATCGGAACGTTGCCGTCGGGAAAGAGTACAATAACAATAAATAATGTGCGCATGTTGAACCCGTTAAATATATTAGTTTATTTTTAAAGCGTGGTCTTTTAGCATCTCACAAAACAGTGAGCTCTACTAAAGGTACTTAACTACCTACACGCTAAGGGCCGGCGCTCACTGACGGCGTGGCACGGCAGGTTGTGTTGCGGCATTTCGTTGCAACTTGCTGAAAGCCCAACCACCATTCAGTTTTTCAGCGCGCGCCAGTGCGTTCTCTCCCTCCCTTGCCACCGCGCACCTCATGGGCTGCGCAGAAATGACCACTACACAAGTTTCAACTAGCTTAGCAACAACGGAATGAAACGTCATGCTGCAGCATCCCGCGGTACGTCGCATCATCGTGGTATTGAAATAAATTGACACGAATTCCATAATCAAAAATAAGATTAAAAATAACTTGATAAAATCCTTTGTCATGACACGCCGTGCCTTGCCGGCAGTGTGCGCCGGTCCTAAATCCTTCTCTATTTTGCTTTCCAGCCACTGATATATTTTTCCTAAATTCATAAAATCAGTCATTTTTAGAATTAGACATTTATAGAATTGCACATTCTGAGAATTGGTCAATTACAGACTATGTAATTATTTTCAGTAATTAAAATATTTACCTGATACATAGCTGCTGCAGACCATGATGTTGGTTCTGTGAGGTACAGTATATGCTCCCAATTTTGGAGATGTGGTATCATTTTGAATGCCTTAGGTAATTTTCCTGAACGATATTTTTGTAGAACATCTCTCACACCTTCATACATTGCTTTAATCCTGTAAGGTCATAAAGGGTTAATTCTGACATGATTCTCTTAAATTTTAAACTGAATTTAACAGCAGTCCCATGCTATTCATTTTCTGTAGCATGATTAGAATAACACTGCCCATGGGACATTATACCTAACGTTAACTGAAATTATCACTGCTTAGTTTAAAAACTGTAACAATGCAGAAAGAGATAGAATATTAAGCCATAATGTTTCTTGCTAATAACAGCCACTGAGATTGTGTTACATTACCCATTTTATGCATTGTGTTTCTGCTAGTTGAGCTGAATGTAAACTTAAAATGTTTTTTTAACAAGCAGTTAGTATATAATATGAAAGTAATAAATAATAATAATACAGTGTGGAATTTCATAACAAGATCCTTATATTACTTCTTTTCATAAATCATACTGGTTGTAAGAAACTACGAAAGACCCGCTAAAGAGGTGACTTTGTTGATGATACTTGACGCCAACTACATTCAGAAATATTCCACTACAATATATGTTCATAGGAGGAGTTGATAACAGATTGCGACACAATAATGCTTACATTAAGAATTGATATTTTCATAAAGGTTACAAATAAAAAGTTAATGAAAATAGTTTCTTATAATACTCCATTGTACAGAATACACCATTGACTTGCACAATTAATGATGATGATGTAACTAATTATTTTTGTTTGCACCATTAATCCTACAGCTTTGTCACACGGATGGAAAGTTTATTAAATATTGAAGATAGGATATATTACTGAAAGATGACATAATTTTATTTTTAATATTGACTAGAACCAAGGGCGTACCCAGGATTTCAGCTAGGAGGGGGCAGCTCATACCTGTTTCGAGAAGATGGTCGGTCGGGTATATTGAAACAAAAAAACATGAAAATTGACTTTTATTAATTAGTTTGATTATGACACAAAACAAAATATTAAATATGTATAATAATCATAATACACATATATAAATTTAAAAGTAATCTCGGATTTGCCGCCGAATTTCTTTTCTGTTTTCTTTTAAATAATTGCGATGTACGCTCATCAGACATAAACCCGTAAGCCTTTCTTCACCCATGGTGCTTCTAAGCCACGTTTTAACTCTTCGAAGCGTACAGAAGGACCATTCTACGGTCGCCGTGGTGCATGGGATAATGCTTAAAATAATCAATGCCTTTCTGACAGCAGGGTAAAAAATATTGGCTTCGTTGAACAGATCAACTACTTCTATATCCCTTAATTGATCATCTGATAAAGCATTCTTCATCCATAAATTATGCCAAAGGTTCAGTTCTCCAGATCACTGGAGAACTGAACCTGGATATCAATCCAGGTTATAAAATTCTTGGAATGATTCTGCGTTCTTGTGTAAGTCTGTAATGCTGGTTTTGGTCATATACAAGGGATGTAGCTTACTTAAAGCAAACGCCGGAGTATTTTCTTCGGAGAATCGAATATTCAACGATGAAATGAGTGAATCAATGTATGGTATTATCAGAGAACGCCGCCAATATTCGTTATCATTGTCAGATGGCGGATTACTTCTATGTGTTTGCTTATGAACAAGACGTGGAACCGAAATTTCTATGTTCAAATCCATTGCAACAGCTCGCGCTTTTTGAAGCATTTCATTACTTATTTTATCAGGAAACTCGCGGTCATTTTTGAGAATGTCCTTGATAATTTTGATGTGTTCCCCCACCGAGATCATGTCGATCGATTTAGCTTGCAGTGCGTTAACTACTGGTTCTAAAACTGCTGAATATTTGGCTATTGTTTGTAGAGCAACAATAAACACTGGTTATGTAACGGCTGAATGCAACTGATATGCAGATTTTCTGGTGGCATAATTTCCCTCTACGGATAACGTTTCTAGAGATTTCACAAGCTCTGGAAAATGTTGAGAAAACTTTCTGATTGATTTATATTTTTCGGACCATCTCGTCTCACACAATCGTGATAGGTTTGGAACGTAGTTTCGACGAGCAGTCGATTCTCTGAAAAACGTTATAACATCCTTAACAGTGGCGACAGTATTTCTAATTTCTGGCACTGCGTTCGCATCATTCACAACAAGGTTGAGTTTGTGACTTGAGCAATGAAAATATAAAGCACGAGGATATTTTATTTCTCAAAATGGCTTGTACGCCACCCTCTTTCCCTGCCATTGTAGAACAGCCATCGAATCCAAACCCTACGCAATCTTCTGTTGGGAGGTTAGAACTAATCAAGAAATTGTCAATTGCTTCGGCAATTGCTGAAGCATTTTGTACTTTTAGTTCAACGAATCCTACAAATTCTTCTCTGATTTTCCTTTTGCTTTCGTCGTAGAACCGCACGCCTATTGATAGCTGTTCTTTCCCAGCTACGTCTGCTGTTTCATCAGCTAAGACTGCGTAAGCCATGATCTTCTGAACTTCACTTATTATATTCTCCTTAATAACTTCGCCACATAAATTAATCAATTCGTTTGTATTTTTGGCGATGTGTAAACTGCATTGCGACGGCACTTTTACAGGTGACTCTTTAATTTGTCGTCCCCTGAATTGATTCTCAACTTTAATAAATCTAATAAAACGCCCTCATCTGCTTGTTTTCCCCTAAGAGGCATATCATGCGTACCGCAAAATACTACACAAGAAATAATTGATGACAATATTTGTCTGTTTTCATCGATTGCTTTTTGGTGTCCACTTTGCAGTTGGATGTCTACAGGAACATTTTCAAGAAAATTTTTTGCAGCATTTGTCGCTGTTAGGTGAAGGTTGGTCGTTGCATGCTTTCGGCAGTCTTCATGCATATTTTTGAACTTTATACACTTCTGAACACATCTATTGGCCCACCTTGTATTTTCAGTTTCGTTCGGTCCTAGCTAAAATTTTATATTAGGTCGAGCAAAAAGTTTTTATGCAGTTTTGAACCTGGCACATTCACAATTTCATTCAATAGTCTTTTTTTGAATTTCGAACACAGAATTTAAAGAAACAAAAGACAATTTGGAGCCTGTTTGTTGATATCAAACAATCGAATACTAAGAAAACTTGGTTTTATTGGTTTAGTTGGATTTAATTCTTGAAAAAGTGATTGATATCTTTGGTTTTGCAAAAAACATTACTTATTCTTAACATTAAGGTGAGGTTTTATCAATAATCTATGGATACTTCACCTGAAGTCGCCGGCCAAGCTGTGGCACTTATTCAGGCCGGACACAGCCAAAGAAACGTGAGTGCTCAACTTAATTTAAGTCGATCTGCGGTCCGAAGTGTTTATCGGAGGTACCTAGAGACTGGCGGCTTTGTTCGTCGCCAAGGAAGGCCACGATCTCGGGTCACAACTGAAAGGCAGGATCGATTCATCGTGACGACCAGCTTGAGAAATCGTCACCTTACCTCCATTGAGATACAAAAACAAATTCGCGACTTCCACGGAGTATCTGTGAGCGCTCGAACTGTTCGGAGAAGGTTAAAAGAACGCGATATGGTACCACACAAGCCAGCTAATGGGCCCAAACTAACGCGAGCCCACCGAACAGCGCGCCTTCATTTCGCACGCAGTCATTTAAATTGGACACAGCAAGATTGGAGCCGTGTACTCTTTTCTGATGAGTCTAAAATTGTGTTACATGGCAATGATGGAAGGAAGAAGGTCTACCGACGTAAGGGAGAGCGTTTCGCACAACGCTGCTTTGAAGAGAGGGTTGCTTATGGCGGTGGCCCATGGACTGTCTGGGGCGGTATATCCGCGAGCGGCAAAACTCAACTTGAGGTTGTTACAGGACCACGGCTGCCAACATTAAATGCTGAAAGGTACATTCGTGAGTGCTTAGAACCTCACGTGATACCATACGCGGACTATGTGGGCCCAAATTTCCTTTTTATGCATGATAATGCAAGAGCCCATGCGGCCGGCATCGTCAGGGAATATCTTCGGGATGTGAACATCACAGTTATGGACTGGCCAGCCAGAAGCCCAGACATGAACCCCATTGAGCACATGTGGGACGAGCTAAAAAGACGTGTTAGGGCTCGTCAGTCAGTTGCCCAGACGATGCAGGAGTTGAAAACTGCCATAGAAGAGGAATGGGAGATGATCCCTCAAAATTTCATAGAGCGGTTGATAAACTCTATGCCTAATCGTATGAGAGCTGTGGTAGATGCCCATGGAGGCAACACGCGTTATTAAATTAAACCTTTATTTGATAAAACATGTTTTTTATTAAAAAATCAATTGCCTTTAACAAGGCGCATATCCAGTCGGATACTCTGTCGGAACAAGTCTGTTAGGCGTAGCTCCATGTCGTATGGTATTCTGAATTCAAATTTAAAACAATACGATCGAAAAAGATGGTAAAATGTATCAGGTTTAAAACTGCATCAACAGTTTTTGTTCAATCTAGCAATCATATTTCGGTAGGGGCCATCGAAACCTAAACTCTAAGGTGGGCCAATAGATGTGTCCAGAAGTGTATATGGCCTGACCTTAAATGATCCCAAAATTCCTCTCACAGTGCTGATGGGCGGAGGGAACAAAACACAATGCTTACAAAGAGCGCCTTTAAGTCGCTTAGAATATACTAGTCATGGTGCATATTGATCCAACCAAGCATTATTAAATTTCCTTTTCAAATGGCTTGCATCACTTTCAAAATCATAATTTCTGGGCGAGATCCAAGGATGTTGTAACAACTCCCTTTTCTTTTCCGTCGATAGCTGAGTAGCCAACCCAACATAACGACCCAGATCATTTTCATGATAGCCATCGTCCACTATAATTTCAGGATCGACGTTGACGTCATAAGTTTGCTGGGATGTCGATGGAGAAGAATAATCGGCAACAGATATATTTACAGGTTCTGCTGGAGAATGTGACGTTTGTCCAATGTTAGCATGCAATGATCTTGGTATTACATGGGTTTTATCTGGGTTTTATCATGGTTGTCATTTTCATCGCTTCCTCCACTGCTACTATCACGACCTTTTTTTCTTTTTTCCCGTGTTGTCCCTAAAAAAAAGGATACACAAACATAATTACTCTTACGGTGTTTAGGCATAGAACGAAAAAAATAATTATGTACCAAGTTTTTAAAGCGGACTAAACAGTATAAAATAATATTTTCTAATGCCGTATAAATTGATCTAAGCATTTTAAATTATAATTAAGCATAAAAAGTAGCAGTCAATGAGAAAGCTCTTCTAACATGAGATTTCTCAACGACTGGTACTTTTTACACTTTTTATCATTACCTATCTTATTTTTTTTTTTGCACCCCACGTTTTTCGTTATACCTACAGTCAAAATTTCAAGTCTCTAGCTCATCCGGAGATCGGGAAGTTAGTTTAAAATCAATTGCCAGATTTGTACCGAACAGACAAACAGACAAGAAACGGACCTAATAAAAACGTGGTAATAAATAAAGATTAAGATACCTATAAAAACATCACATTCAAATATCAATTACTTCCTATACACTTACAAGAGAGCCCCCCTTAAACAAATCAAATAATCATATTAGGTACATACATATGTGTTGTTTTGACTCACCTTTTTCAAAGAAATTCCTGATATCCATTTGATGGAGTAAATCTTTCCAGTTGTTGCGCAGTAAATGTAAATCTCGTGTCGCCGCAACTAAACTATAAGACACTATTATGGCGCATTAAATATTCGCTCGTATTAAACTCTGAACTAAATTGGATTTTATTCGAAATTTCGAACTGAATTGCCTTGCTCTGCCTCACGATCGCGCTTATATATTCAAATATTCTCGCTCCCGAAATACGTAGAAAATACTCGACTCTGTTGCCATCCTTGTCTCATACTTACTGTCTTTACTTTCCAGAATAGTCCATGCTAGAACGTTCTTTTTTACTGGAAAAAGCACTGTCGAGTGTCGTCGTCCGTAACTAGATAGCTAGACGTTGTTTTCTCCAAATTATATTCGGCTTTAATCCTAGATGGCTCTGATTATCTCGTCGGGAGCGGAAACTACGAGATACGACGGTTTCGCGAGAGATATAAATTATATTGCGTTGCTATTATATCGAATGTTGTAGAATATTTAATTATAGATAAAAAAATTAAATCAAAATATCTGACTGAAAAGATGTTTTGTTTCCAACACTTCATTTTGCGCAGAGTAGGTAACACGATTTTAATTCCCACTTGCCAGGAAAATTGACGTTTATTTTATCTTCTACCTGCCCCTACCTGGGTACGCCCATGACTAGAACTGCATTCACAATTTTTATAAAAAACTCATTGTAGAATTGGGAATCAAACACGTGAAATTAGAAAAAAATATACACGACGTATTTTATGATAACCATCAAAAGGGTTAATCATATGGATTATTTTTGCCTAAATAACATATCATTTTAAACGAAAGGAAGATCATGAAAATGGACGACATATAACATTCTTGTGTCACAATTTTAGTTTCCATACTCCTCCGAAACCGCTTGACCGTTTTTAATGAAATTTTATATGCATATTCAGTAGGTCTGAGAATTGGCTACTATCTATTTTTCATACCCCTAAGTGATAAGGGTAATATTTTTTAATTTTTGGACAATTTTTTTACAATTCTTGTTTTATAATGTAGCATTAATAAATACACACAGTTCAAAAATTTCACCCTTCTACTAGGTTCATCAGTTCACTGGATCAGTTAGTATATCTATGTATTACTATTAAATAGTGAGATGATGATGCAATCCAGTATCCGTTAGATACAGAAATTCTTTATAACTGCTATAAAATTTGGTTGTAGTTATTTACTTAATATAAAACAAAACTTTCAATTGAGATTTCATACCTAGGGTCAATATTCTGTAATTTTAAAGTTTCAACATCTGAAAACTGTGACTGCAGTTCTGTTTGTTTATCAGTAATTTTGTCTTTTATGATATCTGCTAAGTTCCGGGTTCTTTCTGGTTTATCCAACATAAACTTTTTTAATGCTTCTTCGTCCTCTGCATTAATTTCAAGGTTGTCATAATAATTGTCAGGTTCCAGGTCATCATGGTCTGAGGTTGTGTTGTCATCAGAATCAACTTCTGCAATGAAAACACAATTTTAAATAAATATGTAGTAATTTTTACTATTACAAAGGGTTTGAAATGCATATTTGAAATAAGGGCAAAGAATTGGCCTATTATGGCATACTGTATGGTATCATATGAGGTGGTGTGGAACCTCGCTGGGATGCCCCTGTTTTTTTGCAGTGCAGTTGGTAGTGCAGTTGTGCAACAATGTACCAGGATCTCAGCAAGAGAAAGGCGAAGCATGCCATTGTGGAGGAGGTGGCGCAGGTGAGAAGTGCACGGGAGTTGTTCATGGAGTCGGAAGGAGCATCTAAAGGAGTGGTTCTTAACCTTTGGGACCATTTGTCGAAATTTCTTTCTTGCTCCGGATCACCATTTAAGATATGTTGAATACACGGTAAATTTTTAGTTACTCAAGAAACTTAAAAATTGTGTAAATGAAAATAATGCAAACAGTTATAAACAGTAAACATAGTACACTCCCATAGAAAAATATAAGATACCTATTATGGAATTATTATCCATTTGAAGTATGTAGATCCTAAAATTTGTTTAATTTGAATCAATTGTCACAAATAAAATTATTAAGGTTTCACAATTGCACAATTAGTGAGTTAGTTTATGGAGGCTTGGGAGAGGTCGCAGAATGTCCTTGGAGTGTTCTGCGACTTATCCAAAGCTTTTGATTGTGTTCGATGCATTGTAATCGAACACCAATAATTTAGCCTAAGACCGCTTTAATTAGGTTAACACACGCGTCAATTGATTCAGTGCATTTTTGGTACCGAATGAGTCGGGTGCATTCATCAAACATTAACATTTTCAACATACGCGTAAAAACATTATTATCATTAACGTTAATTTTAGTGTAGTTTATAAAGAACTATATTGTGGACTTCATAATAAAACATTATAATATATTTGAACTTCCTCTTTTACTCCAAACATTCACCGTTATCTAGTGCAAGTCGGAACATGGTCCTTCGAGTGACCTCGCGAATCGGTTAAATATCTTCGTGAGTGTAAATGAACTAGTGAACACTGACCTGTCTGGATTGCGGTGAAATATAGTGGTGTTCCAGGAATACCAATCATTATCAGGCTTGGATTTATATCCAGGCCTCTCACCATACACCAGGAGCAGCATCAAATAACAAGTAAGATCTTTCTTATTTTTCTCTACAACAATGGAAGACCTTATTGAAAACCAGAACCAGCTGATGACCGCTATGGTCTGCAGCTCGTCAGAAACATCAAAAAAGATGGGGCAAGTCGCAAAACTGCCCTGTATATCAAGCAAAGAATACAAACTCTGGACAGTTATTGGCAAGAGTTTGAACTTAACCATCTCAAAATGAGTAAGTACGATGAACGTGACTATACATACTTTTCGGAAGATATGTATGCTAAAACTAAAGCTTATTATGAAGAAAAAAGACAATGGATTTTGGAACATCTAGATATAGAAACAAAGAAACGAGTAGAGATGCAGAGTGAAACAGGTGGGTATGAACAGGAGATAGGTGAACAAGGAACGACGAGTCAAAGAGAGGCAGAAGTTGGTGACTCTTCAAAACAGCGCGATAAAGACTACACATTAACGAGATGTCAAGGGAATACAAGCAAATTGGACGAGATGTTACGTAAGCAAACAGCAAACTTCAAGGCCTTTAGAAGAACTGCACAAAACATAGAGTTGGAAACTATATCTGATAAATGGGAGTTTTAAGACGTCCTCAGAACATTACAAACTCGCTGGACGGCAATAGACTCTTTACACTGGGAGCTAGACAGCGAGTTATGCGGAGAAGATCTAGAATATGAACTAGCATTTAACAAGTATGAAAAAGAATATAACAAATTGAAGAAAGAAATTAACAAAAAGATGTGGGCAGTAGCGCACAGAGATAAATCTACACCGCAGTTAGATATTCCCATTTTCAGTGGGAACTATAATCAGTGGGTGTCTTTTAAAGACCTGTTTAACGAAGCTATTCATAACAACCCTTCGTTATCACAGGCTCAAAAGATGCAGTTTCTAAAAAGTAAAGTTCGGGGAGAGGCAGAGCGCATAATACAACATTTACCCATCAGCACTGATAATTATGCAGCATGTTGGGAGCTGCTCAATCACCGTTACAACAACAAAAAACTGATTTTTTCCTCTCATATTAACATATTACTCAGCATCCCCAATATGCAACATCAATCAATGTCACAAATTAAGAAAATGCATGATACAACTCTAGAATGTTTGCATGCCATAAAGAATTTAGGCGTGGATATTAGCACCTGGGATCCACTTTTGGTACATCTTTTGTCGCAAAAATTAGATACCGAAACATATAGTGAATACGTAGAATCCCTTAGCAATGCCCGAGAGCTGCCCACACTACAAGACTTTCTTGACTTCATGGAAAACAAATTTACTCATCTCGAGTCTTCACGCCGCAAACAAGATAATACGCATCAAAAATCATCTCAACAAAATTCATACAATAATCAAGGAACATCGAATGTAAAACGGCCATATTATAATTCAACATATAACAATAATATAACAAACAACGGAAATAAATCGATTGCGAAATCTTTTCATGTCTCCGGTATCAAATGTCCATCATGCAGCGGCGAACATGGCCTGTATAATTGCAAAACATTCCTAGAAATGCCAAATGAACAAAAATTAAAATCGGTAAATAAGTTGAAAGTTTGTATAAACTGCTTATTCAGCCACAATGGAAACCGATGCATTTCTACGCGAAAATGTCGAAAATGTGCTAAGCATCATAACACTATTTTACATGATGCACTACAGCATCCGTCAACATCTTCCGGCACCACATCTAAGGTAGCTCAAGAAAACATATCTAGTACTTCGAATGTTTCGTAATCGCAGGATAATTGCTCGGAAATTTTACTTGCAACGGCGTTAGTGCGTGTAAAAGGAGATAACGGCATTTTTTATAACATGCGCGCCCTAATTGATCAGGGTTCGCAGATTTCAATTATAACAGAAAAAGCAGCCCAACTATTAAGTATTAAAAGAAAAAAATGCCAGTGGTCTATTTTTGGCGTAGGAGAAAAGGAAAATCATTGCAAGGGCATGATAAACATACAATGTACCTCTATGTATAACGATTACTCATTTGACTCGGAGGTACTCATAATGAATAATTTGATTAAAAATCTACCCAATAAGACATTTACTAAGCCCTCGTGGTCATTTATCAAAAATATAAATTTAGCAGATCCAGAGTTCTTTATTAGTCGGCCGGTAGACTTATTATTCGGGGCAGATATTTACTCTAAGATTATGCTTTCCGGAATAATTAAGGGGGAGGACATGCAACAGCCCATCGCTCAGCAAACACACCTAGGCTGGCTACTATGCGAGCCTGCAAAAACATATCAGTGTAATGTTATTCTGAACAATTTAGAGGATATAAAAAGATTCTGGGAAGTAGAAGAAATTAGTGAGCAAGCCACTTTATCCGTAGAAGATCAAGAATGTATGTCATTATTTTCATCAACAACACAAGGTTACCGTTCAAGGGTAATTTTTCACAAAAACTTGGGCCAACAAAAAATATGGCAATTGCGCAATTTTTGAACTTAGAACGCAGATTTGAAAAGGAACCGCAATTAGCTTATGACTACAAAACATTTATGAATGAATACTTAGCCTTAAATCACATGAAACTCGCTTGCGGTAACAGGACACTGGAATGCTATTTACCGCATCACGGAATACGACGCATTGAGTCAACCACAACAAAATATAGAGTCGTCTTTAATGCATCTGCCAAAACAGAAACAGGATATAGTTTGAATGATTTTATGCATAAAGGGCCCAATTTACAACAGGACCTCCAAACCCTATTATTAAAATGGCGACAGTATAAGTATGCATTTACTGCCGACATCGAGAAAATGTATCGGCAGATATTAGTGCACGAAGAAGACCAAAATTTACAAATGGTGGTCTGGAGGGAGTCAAGAGAACAGCCATTACAATTCTATCAATTGACCACGGTCACTTATGGTACAAAAGCTGCGCCATTTTTGGCCATAATGACATTGATAAGATTAGCATCTGACGAACAAATCAACTTTCCCGAAGCATCCAAAGTGTTAGAGACCTCTTTTTATGTCGATGACCTTGTCCACGGATGTCATTCGATTCAGAAAGGTAAACAACTTATAACTGACTTAAGAACATTATTAAAAGCCGGCGGCTTCAATTTGAGAAAGTGGGCCTCAAATGAACCGAAAATCCTTCACGACATTACTAACCAACATATCATATCTAACGAAGTTTTCAATTTCAAAACAGAAAACACATCCAAGACACTCGGATTATGTTGGAATTCCGGAGAAGATACATTCACTTTTCAATGCAACATATCACTTCAACAAGTTAAAAAACTAACTAAAAGAAAACTTTTATCCGAAATTTCAAAATTATTCGATCCTTTAGGCTGGCTAACACCTCGACAAAACTGAAACTATTATTTCAAAAATTATGGAAACAAAAATTAGAATGGGATGACGTCGTTAACGAAGAAATCAGTAAAGAATGGAATAAGATAAAAGAGCACCTCCATATAATTAAACAATATGTGATACCTAGATGGATTAAGTGTTGCGAAAATGACGTAATAGAATTGCACGGGTTCAGTGACGCGTCTGAGGACGCGTACGCATGTGTTGTATATGCGCGAATCAAATACACTTCAAAAATAACAATAATTTCTGCGAAATCTAAACTTGTACCGAACAAAAAAACATTAACTCTGCCAAGATTGGAGCTAAGTGGTGCTTATTTACTAGCCAAACTAATGAGTAAAATCAAACAAGCATTATCACAACACACTCTGGAGCTTTACGGATGGACGGATTCGATGATTGTGCTGGGATGGCTCAATGGTGAGCCTAATCGCTGGAAAAGTTTCGTAGCCAACAGAGTACTCATCGAACTCATCATACAGAAATAATCGACCATAATAACT